GAACTGGCCGCTGACCTCGGTAGCGACGTGGGGGGAGCGCGCCGACGGGGTTTGGCGTGCCACGTTTGAAGACATGGTAAATACTTACGGTTTTACATATGTTATCATTAAATTACTTTATAGTGTAATCAATTATTACATTTTAGACTAATGAACAAAATATGGGACAAATCGGGTCATTAAGTCTAGTACTTCATGGAACTAAAGAGATGCCAGCTCAAATGAGAAATGGACCGAGGGTATACAACTTTGGATACAATGAAGAATTGCCGTCTAAGTTGGATTACTTCGATTTCGAAGACCCTGTAGAAGAAAATGTCAATGAAAATGTATTTAACATGGACACCGATTTGATCATAGATGAAATAGAAGAAGACTTACAAAGAAATCATCATAGTAAATCATTCATGTTACCCTAGTACATGTACAATGGCTATATTTAACGAGATTTTTAGCAATTCGACGACACAAATGAACATTTATTTTTTTATAACTAGGATTTAAGAAATAAATGTTCTTGCTAATAGATGGCGTTATCTTAAAAGTTAAATTAAAATGAAAGTTTCGCGCGTTATTGATTCTTATTTATTTACATGTATTATTTAATTAGAGTTTTGGGACGTATTCTAAAATAAGATATTGTTTAACATCACAGTTTATTTAGTTTTAATAAGAAAAATAAACATTGTTTTAAAGCAGTCAAAAGTATGGCTATTTCACATTAATAAAACTAAATTTAGGGTTTTTAAATTTTTATTTGTTTACTTTCAATATTTTTGTAGAAACAAAATTCATTCTCTTTTTCTAATTTTACATTAAAATGTAATACCAAGTAATAATACCCAAGAATTATTTTATCAAAAGAAATAATAATCTTGACATTGATAGTCGGTTAAAATAGGGAGGGCTTTAAAGTGGGAGGTGTATTTCGGGTACACACCTCCAAAGCTACTTGTTAGTTATGACATCCTAGTACTTCGTTCGTTAAAATTTCGATTGACGATTCCAGCCCATGTTTTGTCGATTAGAGGATTCCGGCCCATGTTAGAGCACAAAAAATATGCATGGGAATTTGTAACATCATTGATAAATTTTATACGAGAGTTTTCGGTCACCTATATGGCCGCTGTTTACTATCTCGCTAATTTCGTGTTGGGCCTTATAATCGATATCGATCATAGGATGGCGGTAGTAGAAGTGAAACGTAGGTAATTAAATGTCACTAAGATAAAAGTGATTTTCTTTTTAAAAAAGAAATATTGTGCAAACTATGGCATATTCAGCTAGTTTGACAGAATATGAGATGTCGCTACATGATGAGGCCATTCTTATATAGATTAGCCAATTATACTTATGATATCCTAATAATCTGTTCGTCAAATTACTGGTTGGTTACAAAATGGCGATTTTGTTCCTTCGGTTTTATTTTTGGTTAACACGGGGCTGGCGAGTCAGATTGTCTCTGTTCTTTTCATAGCGAATGACAGAGATGGTAGTATGTTCTATTCATGTAAATATCAAGTACATATTTTTTGCTACAGTGTCATCTAGCGGCTGTTTACTTACATTAAAAAAATATTGAGTTTTTTTATATAACTTCAATAGTACAATATATTGCCAATCACAGCAGCAACAGGAATATACCTTTGTATGAATTATTTACATATAACAGATATTACTATTAAAATTATTAGTTTAATTAAATTTCATAAACGTCGCTGAAGTGTATTAAGTTCACGTAGTGTGCAATAACTGCAACATTCCACTTATGATATCCTGGTAAATCTTTCGCTAAGTTTCTACTATCGTCTGCCGTAAGCGCCCAAACTAAGATGTTCTTGTCTGTCGTTGTTGTTTGTTTAAAATAGATGGTGTTTTTTTTACCTTTTATTTATTAGAATTCTCAACATCATTTCGGTCTTTCTATTGATAGGTGGTGATTTTAAAAGATTAGAGAAAGAAACAGTCCCTCTATATATCATCATAGAAATAGAATAGAAATGCACATTTTGACACTTTTTGTCGATTCCAACAGCGATATCGCTAGTTGAAAATTATTTTATAATTCTCAATTGTAGGATTGTGGGTACGTTAATAGTAAATATTTAAATATTTAAGGACTAATGAAACAAAATTCTTATTCTATATTTTTATTGTCATTTCAGAATAATATTAACGTAATTTTACTTGGTCCCAGTCTAGGTTAAAAGGAGCTGGTATCAATCTTATAAATCGCTTCGTTTTCTATACTAATAGTATTATAAATTACTAGCTTATTGCACGCGACCTCGTCCGAGTGATATTAAAAAAATATATAGCCTATGTTACAGATAAATTACCTAACTAACGGTGAAATAATTTTTAAAATAGGCCCAGTAGTTTTTGAGTTATTTTAATCCATACAAAAATATAAATCTTTTCTCTTTATAATATTGGTATAGATACATGTTTTTATTAGTTTTTGGACAATAATTTCAGCCTTTCTAAAGAAGTTATCAAGATTATATTTAAAGCATCATAATTTCTGTTTTCATACACTTATTATCAAAATGTACATTTTGAATGTAGACTACTCTAAATTTATATTATCCTAGTCCTCAACAGTGAATCCGAGATCCCTTAACTCTTGGACCATAAAATCGTCTTTATACATGTTGACTTTTCTTAGCCATTCTTCTGTGGATATAACATGTCGACATGTGCCACCATATTCCGGAGGCAGAGCTGATGGGTCGATATGTTTGTGGAGGGAAGACATGTCGTAGCCGTGGAAGTGCATGCGGCCCCACGCGGCGCTCGGTATGAACTGCTTAAATACGTAGAAGAAAGTGTTGAGGAACCAGTTGTAGTTTATGATGTGCAAGCCGTGCATAAGAAGAGGAAAGTTGACCTGTTAACAATTAGATTATGGTTTTCTTACTTATTAAAAATTGACTTTATTTTATTAATGCAACACTCTCTTTTGTTTACAGAAATACTTACCTAAAAAATCGTATGAAAAGTATCTTTTTTTGTGTAAAAGATGGCGCTGTGATAGTTTAAAAAAAATGTTATTTAAAAAAAATAATCTTACTAATATTATAAATGCGAAAGTTTAGATGGATGGATGTTTGTTAGAGTTTGTAGCCTAAATGGCTAAACGGATTTCAATGAAATTTAGTATAGATGTAGAGCATAGTCTGGAAGAACACATAGGCTATTGCTTTCTTAATTCCACGCGAACAGAGTCGCGGGCGAAGTTAGTATTATTATAACAACTTTCACTGAGAACTCAGTCACCACCCAGGGTATCATAACAACTCAATGGTCTCACCCCCATCAGGCTGACGATCTGTCCCGCGATGGTGGGCGTTAGATGGCGCACATGTCGCACACTCAGCCCCTCCAGATCGACAATGATGGTGACGCCGAGGATCTGCAGCTTTGGCTGCATCACCGCTACCTCGTCCATAATGAGAGCGCATCGCACCACGTCCATTATTGGCACAGCTTCTGTGTCCCATTTACCTGTAAATATGGTAGATATACATTAAGTAGAACTATTAGCAATGGACTGGCAGGCTGCGGGACAGACGGACTCTGGTATTATAAAGACTTTAATTTCTCTAGTTCCTGTTTATGGTACTTCTCCTCAAACTGTAAAGTTTGGTATACATTTGAGAACATTTCTATTACGCACCGAACCTCATGAGAGTGATTCTTCCGTTGATAGGGCTCTCTGGCAGCGTGCCGCCGTAAACATGCTTCACTTTCTGCAGACCAAACGCGCTGCAATCGTATAGGTATGAGTTCTTTCTCCTAAACTCTTCATAGCGCACCATCTGTGAAGGACAATAAGGTTCATAAAAATCGGTTGTTTTTATCAACTTTTCACATAACTTTTACATTTTATTTCTTTACAATTACTACAAAAACCACATTTACTATTGCAATCGTCTTAAGCAGACTAGATACGTTCAGTTTATTTATTTATAATTGGGTATAACTGTCAGAATTAAGCGTATACCGCGGGCTTAGTTTTCGATCTTTAGCGAATTCGAAAGGTTTGTTTTCTATGTCAAGGAATTATATCGAGCGGTGGCGTAACTTTATTGCCTCTGCTCTCCTAGTACTTTCGAACACTACGCTATCATAGAGTGCGGCCCTGTCTGCTACGCGAACGAAGCGGATAAATAAATCTGAATAAATAAAATAAATAAATAAGGATAATAAATAATAGATAAAAATAATAAAAAAAAATCTTACTTTAATAGTTTAGATGGATGATGTTTGTTAGTTTGTAGCCTAAACGGCTGACCAGATCTCGATGAAATTTGGCACAGTTTAGAGAATAGGCTGGAAGAACACATAGGCTACCCTCTTTTGGTTTTTTTTAATTCCACGCGGACGGAGTCGCGGGCGAAAGCTAGTAATAAATAACAATTTAATGGAGTGCGACAGAAGATAACATTTAAAAATTAAAGAAACATTCATACATACGTACAAGTTTGTGCGCTAGAGCGGGTATGAACCGTCGACATCTCAGAAATCTGAGAAGATATGCATCATCCATGCGCCTCGGGTGACATTCGCCTCTTTCTGCAATACATTCTACTTATAAGTACCTCACATTATTAAAGGTGATACACACAAAGTATATTTTATTATACTATACTAGCTGTTGCTCGCGACTTCGCCAGGGTGAAAATAAAAAAATATAGCCTATGTTAATTACTGATAATGTAGGTTTCTAATGGTGTAAGAATTTTTGAAATCGGCCCAGTAGATTTTGAGTTATTTCAACACAAGAATACAAATCTTTCCTCTTTATAATATTTGTGTAGATTAAAGTTTATTAATTGATTTCTGACAGAGGTAAATTAAAATAAAACGGATTTTTTTTAACTGATTGGACTAGGATATCATCTCACCGTACACCATATTCCGGAGCTCTTCTATCGCGTGTTGTCTCGTGTGGGGGTCCTCATTGCAGTTGCGGCGCGCGTGCTCCTCGAACTCCGGGTCTTCGAACCTGCTAACCTCCGCCGCGAATGCTATGTCGATGAACGGCATGATGTCCTGGTAGAAATTAACCTTTTTAATAACTCGAAATTATCCTATAAATGCTCTGTTTTGTCTTTTGAGGTTACTTTATGTTTATTTTTTTATTTACAGAGCTATTTCAACAAATAGCAATATGTAAGCAATTCGGTATGTTAAGCTATAATCATCAAGTGTACGTTAGGTCGTTAAATGTAATGGCAGAGAAAGTCACTATGCAATGTTTGTTGTGAGATTTGTTAGTCACTAGATGAAGAAAACTAGAAATAATTACATTAAAACAAAGACATTAGTGCATTTAAAAACTGTTAAATAAATGATTAAAATAAATTTAGAATATACATACAATTCAAAAGAATTTGAGTACTCATTTTGTTACTTAGGTTTTTGTCCACATGTGGGGAGATATAATGAATACTGGCAATCAATCTCTAAACGTAACTAATCAACTCTAATAAATCCACATTATTTTTTATCTGTGCCATGATGTGTTGCAAGTGACTGGTAATTTTCCTATAAAAGGCTGTTCACCTCGACTGTACATGGCAAATCAAATATTTCACATAAAGTTCTTCATAGAATCAAATATTTTTCGATTATTGGAAGAAACATTACTATAATATGTGCACTTTGCAAAAAATGATACATAAATTAAAGAGAATGAGGGAATGGAAACATGTTTCGGCAGTGGAAACTCAAGGACTTGTTATACGAAATTGTTAATTCCATTGTTTCGTGTTATTAATAACATAACTGTGTACTGTAAGACCTAATAACTGAAAAGATATCTCTTTATATTTTTTTTACTTTTGTTTTTTTTTAAATACTTAAAAATTTTTCGGGTGCGTTAAAACTTACATGGTCTTTAATATTTCTCGGTAGACAGACTAAACGTATCGCAATACCTAGATCTTGATAAGTCCTAGCCTTTCCTATAACCTAGGTCTAAACTAGAAATACATTTGCACTAGATCTACCAGGACTTCATGAGCCAATATATAGTTGCGATCTTGAATGCAATTTTACATTGTATTCATTTTATAAACCGCTGATTTGCAAACATGTAAAAATTGACATTTCAATCTATTCGTACTCGAACTCGTAACAAATTTTTAATTAAGTTTGGTCTTTAATACCTTTACTTAGAATACAAATAATTAATCGGTAAAAAATTGCATGAATTGTATGTTTGAAGATTGTAAACTGCCTTAAATCAGTTACAGAGATGCAATTCTAAGTGGCATTTTTAACTGAACAGTTCGATAATTCGATTGTTCAATTAAAACTGTCAGAACTGAACGTCTGTAGCGGGCTTTAGCTTTAGGCTTTAGCAATTCAGGTTAATTTACTTTTGTAATACCTTTGTTCATAGTACCACTAGAGTTCGTTTTAGTTAGTTTCTTACCATAACAAAACAAAGATTTATATTTTTATCTGTCCTAAAATCATTGGAATCATTCATAAATAATTTTTAAATCAGCGCAACGAGTAGCAATGAATTTTCTATCTAATGCAATGGATTTAAAAATGGAACACTTTCGTTTTATAACTGTACAAGTTGACTATTTTTTGGTCTACAGTAGCTTTCACATGAGAACACAATAAGCGTAGAGTTATCAATCTTTGAGACACGCCAAAAATAATTACTTTTTTCACTACAACATAACAAAATTTACTTGTATTACTATTTAATTATGTAATTATTAAGCTAATTCAATTATTAAATTTTTTAACATGTACAACTAACAATAATTCGTTTTTTTTATTCTAGGCTAGTTGTCGGCGTTATATTACTATAGTAGGTGACGAAAATACCTAGATTTTTCTAATGCATTTACTATATACAAAATAGGTCATCTATTCCCATTGAAAAAATCATAAATGTCAAGGTTTTTTTTTTCATCGCAATAGTTGTATATTTTTCAGTATGTCCATAAAGTTTTTTTTAAAGTCTATGGTACAGACAGCATTTTGACCATAATCAAAATAAATATTGGAGATTTTTGAAGGGCATGATGACATTTTCAATCAATGTAAAATAATAATGGATTTGTCAAGAAAATATGCAATAATGAAAGAACTGAGCACTAGTACAAACATTACATAAATAATAACACAGTAAAGGCAATGTAAAGTCAATTACCTGTTACCGACAACGCAGTTCTATAATCTTACTTGATGTCAAACAGTACACCACGGTAATAACTATAAAATACTATAAAAAATCTAATAAAACGACATAAATAACACTTCACTATTCCACACTTAAGGAACGACGAAACTAAAAATAAACGCCGTTTTAAAAAAACATAAATCTTTTTTTTTTAAATTACATTCTTTATCACCAGCATTAATTTTTTTTAAACTGTCAATTGTTACAAGTTTGACGAAACATACTTAAATACCATATTATATATATAACCTGTTATTACGATTTAAAACATTAAAGTTAACTTTGTATAGGACGGATGTGAACGACTGTTTCCACGGACGGCTGATTGCGGTATAAAATTAAAATAAAGCGCTGAGACTAAGCGTCTGAATACAGAGTAATGTGAAGGACAGAGATTGCGAAATTATTTAAATTAATATTCGGCTACCACTTGAAATATCTTTGACTTTGAGGCTTACATATTTACCGTAATTTTAAAGCCATCAAATATTTAAATTTATGTAAGCTAGTTAATGTCTACATAACTATTTCATACTGGATTGTTTGAAAAATTAGAACCATAACGTTTTTTAAATAATAATTTTTTTTTTACGTTAAAAAAACTTATGTTTTATTTTAATTCGCGTAAGTCTCTTAGTTTGCTTACACTATGTATTGACAGTACCAACAAAACAAGTTTCTCGTCGTCAAAGGATCGGTGCATGATACACAGTTTAACGGTTCTTATCAATACTCTTGGCTTATTTGTATATTTAAACACTCTTGTGTGTTATTTATGAAAACATTTATTTACGTGATACTTAAATACTACTACTAGGGATAAATCATATGCAATCAGATGGCGGACGAAGACGCGGCTAAATGCTAGTATGTAATGCTAGTATCGATAAAAGAACTTATTGACTGACACTTACCAACGATTCGTCGAAAAAAGGTCAATTTTTTTTAAACAAATTAACTTTTTTTTCTTTCAGCCTGAACTAGATCTATATATTTCTGAACTAATCACTTATTTTGTTACAACTATATGTGTATACGTTATACATACAAACGGACAACTCTAGGATCTAGGTACTAGGGATTTAGTTTTTGTTAAATTTTTAATAGATTATTTCCTCATAATTCCAGTGGAATATATGATACAAATGGCAACTGTATATTTACATATCTGATACAATTTATATTTCACTAGCTGTTGCTAGTGACATTGCCCGCGTGAAATTAAAAAAATATAGCCTAAGTTACTTACTTACAACGTAGCTTTTTATTGGTAAAAGAATCGTTGAAATCGGTCCAGAAGTTTTTTACAATATATACAAAAATACAAACCTTTCCTCTTTATAATGTTAGTATGAATAACATTATACCAAAAAATATTACTGATAATGAAGTCTCAATGCCGCATTCAAAGTTGTTAATTGGTCACTAAGTGAGATAATGTTATGCGAAATCTAAAAGTGGCCATTTAAAATCTCTGAGTATAGATTCTAGTGAATTATATATTTACGGATGTACAGTTTTTAAGTTATAAGTATTGTCTTATTTGTTGACACAGAAATGGCATAAAAGCTTCTCGAAAACGATTTTGTTTAAACTTAACTTAAAAAAAGGTATTCACTTTCCAAAACTACAGCTTTCTCTTTAAACGTCCATAAGGGAAGTAGGATGTACCAGTTGGTTAAAGGTCACGTCGTACTTAATCGAGAATTTGTTGCTAGGAGACAATGACACGTTCAATGTGAATTTCCACTGGGACTGCACCCACACAAAACGTATTCTCATCTCACTTAATCTTTTTGTTAAAACTGAGAGAGCAATATTATATCAGGATAAAATCCATTTTTTATTTGGTAAAATGAATTTATTAATGAAATGACTACTTATAACGTATTTAGAATATTCAAAAGCGCCTACGAAAAAATAAGAGCAATTGCGTAAGTTATGAACGCAATAGCATCAGGCGTCTTAAATATTGAAAATGGCGAGAGTTCGTAAATAAATTAACAACTAGTTTATCTTCGTATTAAAATACAAAATTTTGTGCTACTTCAGCTGAACATTAATAACTTAACTAGATTATTCTTACTATGTCTAACATAACGCTGTAGTACTCAATACTTTCTCTTTGTGTCTAAGCTTTAGTATTTTTAGGTGAGGGGAATGTTTTGTTTGTAACTACACTTTGTAACTGGAGTTTTACGTTCATCGCTTTGTAAAACAATTTATCAGCTTGATAAGATATTTCATGGTTATTAATATCAGAAACATGACGTGTTTCAATCATTGTTATTGTGTACTGGCGAAACATATGCTACATACATACATGTTTCTTATCTCTGATTTTTTTCAAAGAAATGAAGTGATTGGTAATACGTTTTATACATGTTTTGGCAGTTGAAACTCATTGATAAACAATCAGGTACATTGACCTTCTGCTGGGTTAGTTTGGCCGTTATGTTATCGACAGTATTGTTTATATGGCGGACAAAACAAAATAAATAAGACGCTACGTTCCTTGGAGTACTAGGCGAGCATAAGATCAAAGGTATAATGAGGTCCAAGTCAAGGCGGCGTCGTGACGTGACGCAAAGATAAATGCAAATGTTACGCAAGTGTAATCGGCACAACTGTAGATACACTTTCGATACACTATTTCGGTAACATCAAATTATAACGGTTAAACTACTATCTTCCGCCTGCGACTCCGTCCGCGTGGAATTGAAAATAAACAAAAGTAATTAGCCTATGTGTTCTAGACTATTCTTTACATCTATACTAAAATACATCGAGATCCGTTCAGCAATTTTTTCGTTTGCTCAGAAATTATCAGATTTCTCTATTTACATGTACAAGAAGAATCTAGTTGATAAAGTTTATTAAGAATGTCTTAATTTATTGTGGCTACAGCCAACTGTTCCTGTAATTCTATACTATTCATTACGAAACTAAAGTCAGTAATTTTTGAATTACAAAAAAAAAAATATTTCGACCCCTTCAAAACAAAGGCAAACACTCGAATCTGGAATCGACCAGTATTTTAACAGCTGACCAGTCTAATAGTGTAAGTATAGCTAACCATTATTTTCTAAAATATATTACAGGGTCATGATGTCTTATTAATAAAATTTAAACAACCATCCCAACAAAAACATTTTATATCTAACGAGGTCAATAGAAAGTTCACTTAAACCAAAGCTCGTCTCTTATTTTCATCAATACTAATATTATAAAGAGGAAAGATTTGTATTTATGTGTTAGATTCACGTAAAAATTACTAGGTCAATTTCAAAAATTCTTTCACCAATAGAAAGATAATTTATCTGTAAGTAACTTAGGCTATTTTTTAATTTCACACGGGTGAAGTCGCGAGCAACAGCGGATATCATATAAGATCATAGTTTTTTGTTGCAATATAATTCTCTGTACGTAATCAAGAAACAAAGTTGCTGAATTTAGAGCGGAAGTTAATAATAACAACAAAATATAGTGTACGAGTACTGCAGGTAGACCCGTCTTCGTACAAACAAATATTTATTTTTTGAACATTTTATAACAATAACTTTAAGTAAAACCTATATTACTTAGACGTAATATGGCACTTTAATGGTGAAAGAATTTCTGTAATCCATCCTGTAATTTTTAAAGTTTAATTACTCTTAAGAAGAAAATTAGTGCTGTAGAATTGGCGCAACACTAAATTATTGGCGTAAACGTCACGTCCCTAGCTGACAGCTGTTAATGTCATTAGAATGATTAATGATTTGCGCGCCATCCTGAAGGGCCCTTTAGTTCAGTGTTTAAATTAATATCGCTAGTTACAATTATATTAATTCTTTAAAATTACATACAAAATAACAATTCATTGTAATGTTAATATAGATGTTACGTTGTTATAAATTTGATTGAATCTTTGCACGATATGTTGTTTATTGCCAATGGCCCAGATTTAGTTACCATTATAATTTGAACTGCAAGCTCGAGGACATCGACCGTTTCGCAGGTACATATGTTTGAATTTTTCCACTAGTTCAAATAGGTATTTCCGAATCGTAAGCTACTTTTACTTGATTTAATTTGAAAGTAAGGTAAGAATATAAATAGTAATAAATATAATAAAAAACAAAATAAAAATAAAAGAAAAATAATATAAATAGTAATTCACACTTTAAAACAGAATTGTCCGGTTCAGATATGTCACTATGAACCGGTCGTTGCCAACCAGAAAATTAGTTGGTCCAAAATACAGTTTAAAATATAAAAACATTACGTTGTAGTAAACCGGAGTACGATTTAGTTTTGCTCTATGTAACGTAATTATAGTCAAGTTGAAGAAAAAGAGAACTTGTAGTGAGCGTAGCACCGTCACGGCTAGAATTATAATTTCATTCAAACTTTATGGCGGCTCGAGATTTGGCAAGTGACACTGCACAACAAAGTTATAAGAGTCGCCCTATTGATTATAAACGGATTTGTTGGTACACATTCCTGCGCTTGTATTCCTCTACCCACAATAGACATAAATTCCAAAGGGACATAGTTATGTTTAACTTGTCATAAAGTCGATAATGACGTAAAGAGAGCTATGTGCAGCGGTTAGATGTTAACGATAATTTGCCCTCGACCCAAATATGTGCCACAACCAATGTGTCCTATTGATAGGATGCGCATTTTGCTAATATTCCGCCTCTTCCTTGACTGCATAAGTCCCGAGCTGTTATAAATTTTGAATCTTATAATACTCGAAATCTGAACTATTGCAAGTGTCGAAACAAACTCATTTCATTGTCAGTCGCGCCTGGCCGCGCCGTCTCGCGAGATGATTGTTTAGTCTACAGGTTTTTAATACAAAGCAAAATAAATCTTCTTTTTAAGTGTTTATGGTATAGTTTATTACATTTTTTTATTTGTGTTTTCATAGATTGTTTTATTTGTGGAATATTATTGGGATTATATTTTATTTGTAAGTATTGGATATTTTTTATTTGCTATTAATCTGCTTTGTTGTATGATGCGGAAACTTGTTTCAAGTTACAATTAAGTTTTCATAAATAATCTATATTATGACCGTAAACCTGTTTTTAATTAGCAAATGCATGTTACTTTTAAAATTACCTTGAATATCATGATTTTAAAATAACAAGTTGTGTTTTATATTATGGTGTCAAGTCGCAACTGTGGCAAAATATTTTGTAAAAATAATCATAGAGTCTATTTGCTTTCGCCCTCATCTCAGACCGCTTGGATTTGAAAAAACAAAAACAAAGTAAATACCTTATGTGTTCTTACATACTATCCTCTACAAATTTTCCAAAATTTCATCAAGATCCGTTCAGCAGTTTAGGCTACAAACTCTAACAAACATCCATCCATTCTTCTAAACTATCACATTCATAAGATTACTAAGATTGCCTACAACTCTTGTGCCATAACGAGAGCATCTCATGGAAAGTGACGTCATACATGCTATAACGTGTATTCATTATTTGTATTACAAGCATGGTGTATTTGCACTATCAGCATATAAATTACCAATAACACAATAGTAGTCTGATATGCATTTCAATTAGATGTATTTTTATTTGATAAATAAAGGTTCCATGGACCATATTTTTTACGTTTTAATAACATTAATAACTTGTTTTAAGTATACTTTTGAATCTAGTATTAATTTTTGTCTTTTCATCTAGCCCAATGTGTCGAAGAACGCCATTTTCGCACACCATGATGCATATCGTTGATTGTATTTTGAACCACACAGCGTAACCGCTTTGTCGTCGCGACGCAACTTCTTGCGTCGCCCTAATCTATTAAGATAATAAAAGTCACATTAAAATAATTTTAAAATGGACGGTTGCTGCATTGCAATTTCCGAATGTGCAATTAAATTATCAAAGGATTATATGTCGTGTGTAACTTGTTATAAAACTGAAAATGGTGTACAGAGTTCACCAGTAAGATGTTAATGTCCTTGAAATGAGAGCCATCTAAAACAGTTGTAATGTTTGAATTGCTTTGATGCAAGCTAGTAGCGAATAGAAAGTGTAATGTGGTTATATTCTGGAACAAGATATCATATGTGTGATATAAAAAAACAATTTAATCTATACCATTATAATAAAGCGTAAACACACACTTCTTTGTTGCCTAAGATGTCAGCAATTACAGCATATTTTTGAATAATCACTTTTTTAATAAAAAGCCCTACACTTACGTCAAGCTTTAGGTTATAAATTTTATCGCCATTAAACTTAGGGCGTAAATAAATTGGATAAAAACCCTAATGTGGGAAAGAGACCATAAGTTGCTGACAATATCAAGGAAGCAAGGTTGTCATCATGTCATGTCATTTTGACATTTGCAATTGATTGTCAAATGTAAACAATAAAATAAAATGTTCATAATTTCATGCGGATGAAGCCGCACGGGACCAGCTAGTTGTTTATATAAGGGTCTATGTGGGCCAAGATCTTATTGACATTCAATGCCCTTTACTTTGATCCGTAATGTATACTTTAAACATAAATCTGTAAAAGGATATCGTTTAAACTTGTAAATTAAGTTTTGACTTCTTCGTAATTTGTTTCAAGGATGTTTGCTTATGCATGCATTATTTCTTAAAATGTATCTAGTCTTAGATAACAATGTGACCGAGTTTTAGTTGAGTACTAGCAGTGTTTATTATTAAACTAGCTATTGCCACGACTTCGTCTACGCAATATTAAGATAAATAGTATATAATGCCCGCCTATGTCAGCTACCCTTCAGCGACAGTCCGGTCGAAAGCGACCCAGCCGTTTTCGAGACTACACAGATTAAACACGGCTTGCGGAATGCGGACAGACAGATAGACAAAAAATTTTAAATTTTCGTTATCAGCAAAGCAAATACATCATCTTTCCGAAATCTGGAATTTTTCTTTTGATGTCACAAACAGATAGATGTTATGCGTATGCATTGCGGAAAAGGTCACGTTGGTATTTTGCACGTTTTATCATCATATAAAAATACTAGATTTTACACAAATTAAGTTAATAAAAAATGCTCTTTAACTTTTACTTTTTCCTTCCATTTTTACAGACCTACAAGTACCAGGGCGACATAATGTACGAGTGTTTTCTTGAGATAGCATTCGAAGCGGAGTTGAAGAATACACACGAAGACCCCGAATGCCTCGCTTTGGCGTTCGAACAATGTAACGAGAATCCAGTTACCAGGGACGCATCGATCAGGGAACTAAGAGACATGATATACGGTATGTTATGTTATCTTTGTAGATAGTATGGAATGCATGCGAAATAAAATAATACTCAAACAATGTACTGAGTAAAAATTAAGATGATTTTACTTAATTTTAAAGTTAAAACTTAAGTAAAGACGATTTGTTAACTATGTGATTGAGTTCTCAAAACTTATTAGGTAACAAAATTGCAGAATGTTGTATAGCTTGGAGAAATTAGAACTAACAAGTTAACGCCAGTGACATAGGTAAAGTTATCAGAGTTGCAAAGTATGTGAATGTCAGGTATGCATTTTGCAAGTGACCTTATTGTTATTCCATTTTAGTCTTTCTACCGGTTGCTCAACTTCACAATTTATTCTTGCAGTAGGTTACTAACATGAAGTTCAAATTTCGAAACAAAACGTTTTTGTTTAACATTAAAATACCTACTAGGCCTTGGAATTTACGTAATATTGCATTGCTATTGTTTCGTATTAATTTAATTGCATTAATTTTTTCTTAATTTCTCTAGTAAAGTTAAAAAATTCAATTTATTTTTAGGCTAATTCTTCTGTAAGTGACAATATAACTTTTTTTATAACATTTTTTTAGAGAATAGAGTTTATTTTTTGATACTTTTTAATAATTAAATGTCTACGGTCTAGGTTTTCGCAAACTTTTGTTGAATAATATGCAGATCTAGACAAATTGAGAAACAGCGACATCTATAAAATATTTTACGCACTAACTTATATTTGCACCTGTTTTTCGCCAGAGCGCGGTGAGTGCGAGCCTCACAGGACTGACGATGCGTTTTTACTCCGTTTTCTTCGAGCGAGAGATTTCATTGTACCTCGGGCACACAAACTTGTTAGTAGTTTTTTTTTTCTAATAGTCAGAAAATAAAAAATAACATTTAATATGACTAACTTCGCTTGTCCTATCCTATGTTAAATGCTCACTAAGAAACACCGTAAAGTAAATTAAGTGCGAAAATTCTACATTTAGCCACTTACTAAGTGCAGATGTTAAACGATTGTTTACAGTTGGTACGTTACTGCAACTTCCGGGCAGAATATCCACATCTTTACAAGAATGTTGATTTATGGGGACTTACCAAAGTGAAAGACATCTATGAAGGTTCAATGCTGGATAGACCTGATGTTGGACGTTTGACTATTTTTAGATTTGGTAAGTAATACAAATATTAATAGACATAAAGTTTAGATAATTTCTTGTTCTAAAGTTTTTCAAAATCAAAGACATTTAAGAAATACATAGACTAAGCATAGTGAACATATTTTCATCGGTACTTTCTCAGAAAGGTACTTTATCAGTTGTCAAGTTTAGTACGCTACCTAGTGACCTTATATTGACATATAAAAAAACATTTTATAAAATTATTAAGCTTTATCTTTAGTTATAAAGTAAACTAAACGGAGTTAAAAAATAAAATAGCAACATTTAAACATTATTTAATGATCTATCAATAGATGGCGTTATCAAAGGATGGCTTTAGTGAGATTATGTGAAAAATATTTTAAGTGACGGCTCAACTATACCTACTCTATATATCTTTTTAATCTTTTTGTTCACAATATTGTATTTGTACTTGAATATTGCGACTTTTACAGTAGTAATGAAATGCCGAACATTGTGTTATGTTTATAAAACTTGTTAATAGATGGCGCTGCAGGAATCTTATGAAGCAATATAGTTTTGTTTTGTAGCGGAATCCAAACTCCAGCCTCTTCAAATTTTCGTCACTCTGGTTTCCCTTCAAAACGTATAAATCTTTCGCCTTTTACTAAAGATTTCCGTGGAGGGGAACACTCAAATGAGTCTAATATATTTTTTGTAGCCCTACGTTCGTAGGGTAAAAATATCGTAATGTATTATTATGTATAGTATAGGTTTCATACTTAAAGTACCATCGCCATTGATTAAAAATGAAAATGGCGTTGGCGAACACGATTTCGGTAAAATCTAGAAAAGCTGCTTAGAATAATCTCTCTTCTTGAGAGTAATTATCAGTCGTTGATATACCTATAAGCGATAAGCGCGGTAGCTGCAACACCCCAGTTGTTTCAATGTCAAGGGTATTTCCTTAATTTCTCAGTTATAAATATCATACATTTCCCAGGTACATGGAACCCAAGCGAGTTACCGATAGAAGACTTGGTACGAGTAGGGTTGGCAATGGCAGAGATCGGCATCCGCCAGCCTAAGCTTCAGGTGCTGGGGGGTTTCGTCATTTTGGACATGGAGGGGTTTTCATTACAACACATCGCCACGCTAACACCCACCATTGCGTACCAGATGGTGTGTTTGTTGGGTGTAAGTTTGACCTTTTATTACGATTTTATTTTTTAAACACCAAAGTTCAACGTTAAGAATCAGCGCCATCTAGTTTTTAATGTACAAATTTTTTTTAACAACAATCGAATACAACTTTTTATGGACATAGTGGAATGAAGGGGACGGCAGTTGCCCCACGTAGAACATCAAAAAATGTGAAATAGTCATAAAAACTATTTAGAAGACCATATTTATGATATCTGTCCCTTATATCTAGCCTAGACCATGGGTTAGTGATGCTTGTGCAACCATTATTTTATGATTACTTCACATTTATTTTGTAATTATTCCAGGTAGCAACACCAGGACGTTTGCAGGGTTGTCACATTATAAATTACAACTGGCTTCTAAATTCTTTCTTTTACATCTTCAAGCGCTTCATTCCGCAACAAGCTTGGGGTCGCATCTTCTTCCATGGTCACGATCTGAAGTCACTTCACCAGCACATCGACCCTGAATGCTTGCCTAAAAGATATGGTGGCACATGTAGGAACCATGTGTCAATAGGACAATGGTTTCAAAAGATTAAAAAGTACAGAGACGAACAGTTCGATAAGGAAATGAAAGATCTTGGATATCTTGTTAAAGAATAAATAAGATATTAAAAATTAATTAAGAAATACTTATAAAACACTGGATAGTTGATTAAAAAAAAACCAGGCGGCTATTCCCAATCAAACTCAGCATAATAGTACACAAAAAAGTACCAATCAAATAGAGAACTTTTCTTTTAGGAGTCAATTAAAAACTGTGTTATCGTATATGTAGTCCAATAACTCTAATCCACGGCTAAAACAGCACAGGAGTATGAAACGGATTTCCTTAAACCTCCAACAAAATTCAAATAAATTAGGCCTTGGCTATGGTTTCCAAAATTAAGTTAAGTTACTCATATGAAGAATATAAGGCTAGTGAATTACTTAATGAAGATGAAATTATGTTTCATTAAGTTTGAATTTGTAAAACATTCAAATAGTTTCCTTTATTTCTTTTTGACCGACTTCCCAAAAGAAGGAGGTACTCAATTCGTCTGTATGTTTTTTTTTATATGTGTTACGTCATAACTCCGCCGCTAGTGGACCGATTTTGATAATTCTTTTTTTATTCGAAAGGTAAAGCTTGCAGGCGGGTCACATTTTGGTTATACTTCTATTTATCTACTTCTTAAAACAACGAGATATAATAGCACAAACAATTGCCATCTTAAGTTTTCAATTTAAAGTATAAATAATTACTTAGATTTGCTAACTATTTTACAAAATATTTGTCTCGTATGTATTACTATTTGTAAATAAATGTTCAACAAAAAAAAACATACAGACGAATTGAGTACCTCCTTCTTTTGGTAAGTCGGTCAAAAAGATATAAGAGAGAAGAAACTCGTTCCATGACAATTCCCTGACAAAAATGTAAAAGGGGTTCGAGGTACACGACCATTTGATCGGTAGTTATTTTAACAATTTATTATCAAAATAATCTATACTATTATAATAAAGCGTAAACACACACTTTTTTGTTGTCTAATATGTCAGCAATTACAACATATTTTTGAATAATTCTTTTTTTTTTAATAAAAAGCCCTACACTTACGTCACGCTTTAGGCGCTTTAGGATATATTTTCACGCCATTAAACTTAGTTAAATTAAATATTTTCGATAAAAACGCTAACGAGGGAAAGAGACCATAATTTGCTGCCAACATAAAGGAAGCAAAATTGCCATAGTAAGGTAATTATTATTCTGACATTTGCTATTCAGAATTTGACAAATTCAAACAATAAAATAAAGTTTTTTATAATATCATGCGAATGCAGCCGCATGGGAACAGCTAGTTTTGCAATAAAGGAAAGTGACAATTTTGTCTGTTCGCAAAACGGCTGTACCGATTCTGATGGGAAGCTGATTTATGCAGGAATAATAAGTATAGTCAATTTTTAAATTCTGCACTGCCTTTGTAATATAAAAAATATACCATAGTGTACCATAAAAGAGAAACATTCTAGTGACGAAATGAAGACAATTTTTATGTGTTCTGTAACACATAAAAGTTTTACAGCAAATAAATATCAAGGCGGTAGCTTGCGGGGGGATAAGGTTAGGGATTTATCAGAGCTTTATATTGTGAAGTGAAATTTATGGCCTTCGTATTCGAAGATAACAGTATATTTTGGATGTAGAAAATTTTGACATCAAAATTATAAATAAATAATATCTCACTGTCACATTAAGATTGATAACCCCTTAGTAAAGACTTAGTTTAATTTATTTTTATTAGTCTTTTTTAAGTGACAACTTTAGTTAATTTATAATAAATCCCTACCCTAAATCCCTACTAAGGGAGACCATTTTTGTCTCCGAATTCAACAATAAGTGTTTTTAATTTAATAATAAGTTGACATTGATATTTTTGTTATTTATTAGTTTGTTAAAACTTTAACAATAAAATCTCGTAACCCTAGATCCCTGTAAAAGCTCTACAGGTCGGCAGTACCGCGCGGACTACGGCGTAGCACGGTCGTTAGCTTCGTAGCTTGCGGGAAAGTTACGTGAATTTATTTTATAACATCCAGATAACGCTTGGAAAAGAAAAACTTTCTCATTTAATGTGGTTTCCGCGGAATAAGAGCATTTGAAGATATTTAAATAATTAAAAGGTTAGTATTAGAGAGGCTAACTTTAGTTGATTTTAAAATGATTTTAAATAGAGTACTCAGTTTGTAAATGTTAAAAATAAGGGTGTGAAATAGTTTCCATTATTTAAATAAAAAAATGGATAAGACATGTTCGTCTTTTTAAACTTTATTCGTTTTTAACCAACTTCAAAAGGAAAGAAGGTTCCCAATTCGACGTCTGTAATTTTTTTTCTAAACACTAGACTATCAATGTGGTCAGTTACAATTCAAAATAGACAGCGCAGTCAAAGTTGTTAAAAGTAGTTTCGTTTAATTTAGAATTATTATCATAAATCTACAGTAAGGGACTCTACTAACTAACGACGTTGCGACAAAAAATTACCGATTTTCTTCTTAATTTTTACAGTCAAGTTGCTGAAATTTTCCGGTTAAAAATACATTGTTACTTCTTTATTACATGTAGGCATTATTACATGAACAACATTAATAATTCATTTTTTTCATGAAATTTTAAGTTAGTTTGTAAGAGGTCACATGTTGTATGTAATTTGTTAATCTCGTGAGCCGAGGTTGCGGCTTGCCGGCTAATGACTACTCGTTACTCGTATGTTTCACATTAGATTAATTAATCTTACGTCGGATTTCCACTGGCGAAACTTGTTTAAAAACATGTTAGGTTTTCTCTTTGACAAATTAGAGTTGGTTTTTTTTAGCTGTATTATGTATCAGTGATTTGATTGGGATAATAAATCGACCTGCGTGGATATGCCAAGTTAAGAAACAATTCGTCCCAGCCTCGCCTTTAAGTAAAGATCGTTTTATATATATTTTCTATCATATCCATACCCGTCCCGTTCATTTAATATATAGCCTATGTTACTCAGTGTTAATTTACCCATTTAATGGCGAAATAACTTTTGAAATCGGTTCAGTAGTTTCGGAGCCTATTCAGTGCAAACAATCAAATCCTTCCTCTTTAGAATTATAGTATATGTAATTTAATGAATTGGCTTTCTAATTTTAAACATTAGTTTTATAGTTGAATAACAAAACACATATAAAATATAGTGAATAGTTTAAAATATATTGCATTCATACACAGAGAACACGGACATAAAAAACTGTTCTGTTGAAGTTTGCTCTGGCGACGGCATTTCAATTTAAAACGAAATGACTTTTTATTTTTAGTTTCAAACGATATGTTAGAATGTAGTTTAAATTTTACCTTTGTTTTAAACTAATCGTCTCTTTACGAAACTATTTTTATGCATGTGCACATAATTTTTTAATAGAGTTGAATTAAAAACGTCAGTGACCCAATTCTTAGGTTCTTGACCAGACTGTACCGTTCGTACTTCTAAGTTCGATCTCCACTATGTATTATCAGCGAAACTGGCGGTGTTCAACCACAAAAGCTACAATCGACTGAACATTTTGAAACGAAACGCGTAAAAATCAATACTACGCAGATTATAAAGGTGTCGTCTGTACGAAAAAAAAGTCGGTTAGTAGTACACGGCTAGCTTTTTTTTATAATTACCTCTTCGTTTGCAACACTCACTGTTATCTAATTAGTTATTTGTAGAAAGAGGCAGAGTTAGTCTCATTGCAATGAACAAAGCAATTATTCCTAAAGTGGAACACGGCGAATTTTCGCGACTGTACCTGACGTTCCTATTTTAGAGGGATACGTGATGCAATCTGCACATATCGGAGAAGAAATTCAAAGTTATGTGTGAAGTTAACCAACCCGCCTATGCCAGCTTGGTTGGATAAGGCCCAGACACACTAGTTACTACACACATTATCACCATCACCAGCTCACTATACGTCCCCACTGAGGGGATCGGAGCTTACCCTAATAAGGGGTGACTAGGCCATAGTCAACCACGCTGGCTCACTACGGGTTGGTTGACTTCACATACTTTTCAATTTCTTCGCGGATATGTGCAGGTTGCTCACGAATTTTTCCTTCATCTAAGAACGACTGGTAAATTATGTAAATATGAAATTTAAAAATAATCGAAAATCACATTGGTACATGGCGGGAATAGAACTCAAGACCTGTAGATTACAAGTCAAGACACTATACTAGTTTGGTTAGATAGGTTCTGAAGAAAATTGTTACATAAATCTTTTTATTCAATTAACCCTAAAGTGGTTATTTTACACTAATTTTAATTGAAAACGTTTTGTTTTAATTACGACTGTTGTTAGAAGATGGATAAATAAACTTGACAATACGTCTAGCGTGTACCAGGGCAACATGAATACAGAATAACAAAGGCAGCTGCCCGAGGGTGGCGCTATTGTGTGGACCTCACTTTCCTCGAGGGTACTTTCTATACTCTGTTTATGTTGGAAATGTTAACATTGTAACGTTACAAAATTTAGGAGAACAAAGAATATGTTACGAAAACAAGTTAAGAAAATTTAATTTACATGCCTTTTATTTTATTTATGATTAGTTGCTATAAAGTTTTTCTTAAATTCTTCCTAAAATTACTTACTATAAATTCTAGGTCATGAAATGTGACGGCGTGAAAAATAATTGGCATGTACAGTCGCGGAAATCTGCGGTGTCCCACTTATAGAAAAAATGCCTTACTAACAAGTTACAAGGAGTAATAGTGGTTGAATAAGTCCTTTCCGATAGTTCCCTTTGACAGATTATTCTTACAAATACGAACATCAATAGATTAATTATAAGTTTGTGGTTAACTTGAAAGTTATAATAACATAATATGCTTATATATACTTGATATCAGATATGCCTTAACAAGTTACCAAATTACTTTAACTTGACAGAAAAAGAAAAAGCAATTTTAAAAGGAAACTTGGTAAATTAGTTAATCAAAATTTCACATCGGACCAGATTTGGATTTAGCTCGGAGAGAATTTAATTATCATTAAATATTAACATTTGTGTTAATTAATTCTCAAAAATGTTATCTGAAATAACTAATTAAGTTTTAATTTTTGAATACTTACGATCTAA